ATGCTAGAAGATCATCCAGATTGATGTCGTTCAAGCAATACTCCAGCTTGCTAATCTCCGCAGAGACGGTGCCTCCCTCATCAACTCGGCGAACATCATTTTGCTCCCAAAGAAAGCGGACGCTCGAGTGGTCGGAGACTATAGACCTATAAGCCTCATCCATAGCCTTTCCAAGATCTTCTCCAAGCTCCTCGCCAACAGGCTGGCCTCGCTCCTGCCAACGCTGGTCTCCAAATGCCAAAGCGCCTTCGTGCAGAAGCGCTCCATCCACGACAACTTCTTGCATGTCCAGAATCTCATAAAGGACCTGCATCGTCGGAACATCCCGGGCCTCTTCCTCAAGCTGGACATTTCAAAAGCCTTCGACTCCGTCAATTGGGCCTTCTTGCTGGAGGCCATGCAACGCCTCGGCTTTGGGCAGCGGTGGCGAGACTTGATATGCCTCTCCCTGTCTTCCTCTTCTTCAAGAGTGCTGCTTAACGGAAACCCCGGAAGAATGTTCAGACATGCAAAGGGCCTCCATCAGGGAGATCCGGTATCTCCGATGCTTTTCATCCTCGCCATTGACCCTCTTCAACAGATCCTACAGCTCGCCTCCCAACGCGGCATCCTCAAACCCATTTGTGCAAGAACGGCGAGATGTAGGATCTCCCGTTACGCTGACGATGCGGGCATCTTCGCGAACCCAGACAAGGATGAGCTCCACGCGATTTCTGCAATCCTGAAGACCTTCGGGGAGGCTAGCGGACTGATCACAAACTTGAGCAAGACCGAGGTCTTCCCGATCAGATGTGACGGCATTGACCTTCAAGATGTGCTATCAGTCTTCCCTCCCAAGATCGCCACCTTCCCAGGATGCTACTTGGGGCTCCCCCTGCATTATCACCGCCTTAAAGGGGTTGATCTACAACCCTTCATCGATAGGTTCGCAGGAAGACTACCAGGATGGAAAGGAAAGCTTCTCAACAAGCCTAGCAGGGTGGCACTCGCTCAGTCTGTCCTCACGGCCATGTCCACCTTCCACATCACAGCTCTTGATACATCTCCAACGTATCTATAATTTTTTATTGTTCCATGCTATTATATTATCTGTTTTGGATGTTTATGGGCTTTATTATACACTTTTATATTATTTTTGGGACTAACCTATTAACCTAGAGCCCAGTGCCAGTTTCTATTTTTTTCCTTATTTTAGAGTATCACAGAAAAGGAAAATCAAACGGAGTCCAATTGACCTGAAACTTCAGGGAACTTATTTTTGGACCAGAATAAGCCCATTGAGTATCGGAGATGGACCAGGAGAGTCCCGGGCTGCCCACGAGGGTGGGGGACGCGCCCACCCCCTGGGCACGCCCCCTGCCTCGTGGACAGCCCGGAGATCTACCGACGTACTTCTTCCTCCTATATATACCCATATACCCTAAAAACTTCGAGGAGCAGAATAGATCGGGAGTTCCACCGCCAGAAGCCTCCGTAGCCACCGAAAACCAATCTAGACCCGTTCCAGCACCCTGCCGGAGGGGGAATCCCTCTCCGGTGGCCATCTTCATCATCCCGGTGCTCTCCATGATGAGGATGGAGTAGTTCTCCCCCGGGGCTGAGGGTATGTACCAGTAGCTATGTGTTTGATCTCTCTCTCTCTCTCTCTCTCTCTCTCTCTCTCTCTCTCTCTTTCTCTCTCTCTCTCTCTCGTGTTCTTGAGGTGGTACGATCTTGATGTATCGTGAGCTTTGCTATTATATTTGGATCCTATGATATTTCTCCCCCTCTACTCTTGGGTTGCAGGGTTGCTTGAGAAGGACCATCTTCATCCTACGCCTCCTACGAATTGATAAACCTTAGGTCATCCACTTGAGGGAAATTTGCTACTGTCCTACAAACCTCTGCACTTGGAGGCCCAACAACGTCTACAAGAAGAAGGTTGTGTAGTAGACATCAGCTCTCAACTTGTAGAAGGGGACACTTAGAAAGATCAACAAAATCATTCGGGCCTTCATCTGGCAAAAAGAGGACCAAGCTCAGACTTTGGGAGGTCAGTCCCTTGTTAACTGGAAGACCGGCAGCCGTCCAAGGCATCTGGGCGGTCTTGGGATCATGGACCTGGAGAGATTTAGCTGTGCCCTGCGCCTCCGGTGGCCTTGGCTGCAATGGACTGACCCAGAAAGGCCATGGGTGGGATCGGAGCTGCCGTGTGACGAATCAGATATGAGCCTCTTTCGCGCATGTACCTCGATTACGCTGGGCAATGGGCAGAAGGCGCTGTTCTGGCATGACAACTGGACCAACGACGGTCCGCTCAAGCTTCTTGCTCCACAGCTCTACAAGATTGCCTCAAGAAAGAACAGATCAGCGCACAACGAGCTCATGAACGAGAACTGGATCAGAGCAGTGGCTAGACTGCAGACCATTCAGCAGCAGGGTGAATTCGTATCTCTTTCGAATCACATTAGTCAAATCACCCTCCTCCCTGACCAAGACAACACGGTCCACTGGAACTTAACCACCTCGGGGACATACTCAGCCGCCTCTGCCTACGGCGCGCAGTTCCTTGGCTCCTACTCTCGTTTCGACACAACCAAGGTCTGGTCTGCAAACGATGAGCCCAAGTGTAAGTTCTTTGCTTGGCTTGCTCTACACGGAAGAATCCTCACTGCGGATATGCTGGCTGTGAGGGGATGGCCTTATGAGCCCAGATGCCTGCTCTGTCTCCAGCAGCCTAAAACAACAACTCACCTCTGCAAAGACTGCCCCTTCACGGTCGCGGCCTGGAACCAGGTGAACACCTGGACTAACGAAGGCGTTCCTATCTCGGGCTTCCTCCCCGAGCCAGGAAACGTGTCAGACTGGTGGGACAAGACTCTCATTTCACAGCCCAATCAAGTGTGCAAGAGGTGCAGTGGAAGAATCATCTACACGATATGGTCCATATGGGAGGAGCGAAATAGACGGGTGTTCACGGGACTAAGGTTGACGCATCGCGAGGTGGCGGCTCTAGCCGTAGACGCAATCAATCAGCGCGAACTGACGTTTGCTGGCAGCCTGCCAACCGCTGGCATTGGTTAATCTAGTTCTAGGTTGGTTTTTCTTGTGGTTTCTGCGACGTTTCCCTAAACACGCTCGCCCCTTTGTAAATTGCGTCCTTTCGCCATCTCTTCTACAAAAAAAAAGGCAGTGCTCCTGCCGGTTCCTCAAAAAAAAAGGAAGGTTTGGTCACTCAGAACATGGAGCGCTAGGTGGGATTTCAGATTCAAGGACGTCAACCAAGATGCATGGCACACTGCGATTTCTTCCTCAAAGATCAGTTTTGCTTATCAGGGTCCGAGCATTGTCCTGGAGAGTCGTTCCTTACTCCTTAGTGCTCTTATTGTGAGTTATGGTGATGAAGAGGCAAGACAAACACATTTAACCTAGAGAGAACTCCACTAAGTTTGTGTGGCTAACGTTACTGATGGATAAAATCTGCCGTAATGCTTAATTTTGCAGGAGAAGAGAAAATACGGTTTCTTGAACCACTCCCTCCGTTCACAAATATAAGATGTTTGGATATTTTAATATGGACTGAAATGAGTGAACAAACACACTAAAACATGTCTATATACATCTAATTCAGTAAAAAGTCAGAACATCTTATATTTATGAACAAAGACAGTACTTCTCAACCTGGGGATCCTACTTGCCAACCAGGAGAGCTTCTTCTAAAGTGGCTAAACACAGTATCCTCTGTTTTAGTATTATCTATGCCACATATGGCCACGCACAACAGAGTAGGACCGCCTTTTTCACAAATTCCTATGGGAACATTGTATCGCAATTCGCAAAGGTGATGGTCTAGGAAATGCAGTTAAGCACATGGAGCCATCTACTTTGGAAGATTCACCACTAACATTCCTTAGTTTCTATTTTCCATTGTATTGGTGCACTTCAATCTTTGTGAAGGGATTGGGCAGCCGCTACTGCATTTTACTCCTGCAAAATGATTGCGAAGCCGCACGCTAAGTTTGCATCTTCCGAAAGCGTGGTCCAGATTCTTTGCAATATATTAAGCACACATCGGTGACTTGACTATTTGCATGCTTTTGTTATGAGTTGTCTATTTGCAGTAACTGTAAATCAGGATGTCGTTAAAAATAGGGCGGTTCTGAAAGAGTTTAGGGAAGAGAGAAGAAACGACACGTTGCAGTATTTGATTTCCAATTGTGCGGCACTGCACAATAATAAGCAACTAAACAAATGATCAAGGAATTTTGATTCCACCTTGAGCTGGAGAGATGCACGTGTGTCTGGACTGGAGAGACGAGTCTGATCATAAGTTAGATCTGATCACATGATCTGAGATCAGTCTGTAGATGTTTGTCCAGTTTGTAGATTAGCTGACGTGACAAAAGAACATGCATGACTTGCTTACTGACGAAGCAACAGAAGTAACGAACAAAAGAGAGCAATCCATCTGATTGGGGCGAGAAATCCGATCGACTTTCATTCACATTATTGAGTCGGAATGAAATGATGTACCTCCATGAAATGATTGTTCATACAAATTTTTATTTTCTTTCATGTTTGAAAGCCCAAACATGCCAATGTTTCGACGAATCGTATACATGCATGCATGTGAGTGTTTCCAAGAATCAAAAAGGCCTTGGTTTACAAACCCGTTCTCAACACAGAAGAAGGATAAGAATTGGCTAATATATATATACCCTCCCGTACATATATAGTACATGATGTCTATATCCACAGGCAAAACAATCAAAAAGCAGAAGATGCAACCATGCTTTTGCTGGGTGCAATGGATGTGCCCGATCCTTTTACACTATGCTAGTCTTTCCACTTTCTTAGATTAGCGACATCAACCCCACCACCCAACCACTTGCTTCCGATATGATCTGTTTCACCTGCCCACCAAGTAGCACACAGATTTAAGGTAGCCGGGATTCTCGAAACAAAACAAGCAGAAGCATAGAGGACGGAGCTACCCATAGCACTGATTAATATTAGATCTCATGGGGAACATACACCAGGCCGGCGTCAAGAAAGATGACCATGGCGGCGGTGACAACCAGCAGCTACAGGTGGTCTCCGTTCTCGAGCTCCAGGCCGGCGTTGTGGAAGACCAGCCGCAGCCTCTCGGCGGATGGCATGCCGTCGAGGCAACCTCCATGGTACGTGCTTCCTTGCCTACTGTGCGTCTAGATGTGCTCCGGCCACGGCAAGCCAGCTTTTTTTTGCGTGTGAAGTTTATCGCTGTTGCACCTATTTTAATTCCTGGTCAAACTTCTTTTGGATGAAACAACTCTTTCATTATCTGCATTGAAGATGACAATACAAGAAATTTGTTGATTTGTAACGCTGAGATTATGTCGGTTTTGTGATGAAATTCAGGTGGTCAAAAGTTGAGCATCATTACTAGACTGTACTACGCTTCTGAAAATTTTTAGGTGGTTAGAGTGGATTTTTGAAGGACTTTGGGTTTAGGATCTTTCATCGAATTTCACACAAGAATACCTTTGCCTGCTCCCATCTTAATTGTATGATTTTCCTACACTCAACATGAATCTTGAATTCACCAAAAACCTGCTAAAAGCTCGAGGTAGGCAACTTGAAAAGTTGTAGGTAGGGGCCGGTCACCACTCATATTCCACTTAAAGTCAATATGACTGAAACCTTTTTTTAGGGGAGTAGGACTAAAACCTGAAATAAAACATTAGTCCTCACGATGGCTGGCTTGTAATTTTTTCTCTCTGATCAACGTGGAAATTATTAGGGAGTATGTAATTAGTATAGTGTTTTTTTAATAAATTTTGTGATTCACCTGTGCCTAATTTGTGTATGCTCTTGCAGTTGGAAAATTGCAAGACAAACAGTACTGCTACAGATGGAGGCACCAGCAGCAGGATAGATATCCTCGGGCCTGCAACAGAACAGAATATCCCAAAACCCAGTGATCCTCCTCATCCATGCCCGCCGCCACAGTCGCTGCCGGAGGGTGTGCAGTCCGTGCTCAAAACGTCACGGGTCAGATACGATAATCCATCATTCACAACCCTGATTAAGTTAGTTTGTTACCGCCAGCATCTAGTAAAGTGATCTTAATTTGTTACATGCATGGATAAACACGCGCACAGGTTAATCGAAAGTGCATTGGAGACGGTGATGGCTTCACTGCTTATGAGGAGAGGTATATGCAAATTAACTCAACCTAGCTAGATTTAGTTTCCTGTCCCTGCTCCCTCACTTCAAATATATGACCTAGCTTTAATTTCCTCTCCCTGCCTCGCTGGAAAACTAGCTACTTCAATATGCGCACGCGAAATATTTGTTGATAAGAGTAAACAATATTTTTTTAGTGAATTTGGTGTCACTAAAACTAATTAAATCGCAATGCTTAATTCTGTTGCATATGTGAATATACTATGTATCTAGTGAATTTGTGAAAACATCTAAATCTGACTGAACTGAGCAAAATTTGGATTTAAATTCAAATTGAAATTCAATTACATTAACCGAAACACGGGCTGTCATGATATATTTTCTGTCGTCTTGTAACCTGTAATGTCTCATTCAGTATTTCTGTGAGCAGGATTGCAGGTGATACAAACATCCGAGATCCACCGAAATACAAAATTAGAATGAAGTATGTATACTGTTAATTCTTTACATGGATGGTGTTGTTTTTAAAGTTCAATGTACTTGACTAGCTAGCCTTGTAAATGACAACATCTAGCATATCGTATAGAGCTAGTCCTATTTCCGTTGTCCACATGGTCATTTTGAGTACTCATGGAGTCCAAATGGACAATGCATGCAAAATTTGTAGCCATTCACCAGCACTGTAGATTGGCTTTCTTTTTCCTGCCACAGAAAATTTGTAGTCAATAGTGACAAGTTGCAAGTGCCACCTGCCTATGATGTACTTGGGAGTTTCAATTTCAGTCGATGAAATATATTTTTAATTATGTAAATGCATTCTTCTTTTCAAACGACGAAACATATATTTAATAAAAAATAAATTTCATTGCCTACCCCAACTTGTTTGGGACTAAAGGCTTTGTTGTTGTTGTTGTTGTTGTTGTTGTTGTTGTACTATTTCTACAATTAAATGACAGTTTTAGTGTTGTAGCTACAAATTTTTAAAGGATATTTAATATAAATTTGAATTATTAAGAAATTATAACATAATAGTTTGAAACTTATAATATAGAATTCATCTTCAAAAGTGTTCAAATATAAAGGCCAAAATAACTCATATTTGTTCATTATATTTATTGATTAACTTGTGTTTGACCTTAGGACTATATCTACCCATAAAAAGTTATTTTATATTATTTATAAAGCAACAACTCCATCGAGACTTGCCTCGTCGCTGCCAGACTCAGTCAACAAAGACTACATACTCTGTTTTCACCCCAAATGCTAGCAACAATGCCTTCACCAGCAATGCCTTCTTGAAAGTAACACCGCACAAACATCGTCGTTGCCGGATTTGACCACCAGGGCAGACCTAGGGTCTTGTCTCTACCGATAACCAAAATTATTCGGCTCAAGTCACAACTCGTACTTTTTATCTATTTCGTCAAAGTTTATAGTAACTACTACGTATTGTCTTATGAGAATTAATTAATGATCATATGTCGTGCCATAGGCTTTTACAATAGGCTTCAAGAGAAGAGTGCATTTACTTTGTGTGAATCAATAGGGGGATTGATGCACCGGAGCTGGATATGGAATATGGCATGGAGTCAAAGGATGAATTGGTGAGGCTTATTGGGGGAAGCGTGTTTCGATTCTTGTGTATGGGCCAGACAAATATGGACGATCTCTTGGTGACATCTACTGTGACGACGTCTTTATCCAAGTGAGAAAGTAGATCTGATCTTTTATCGAAAAAAAATATGATCTAGCTTGCACAGTTTTTTTCTGCAGTTCTGTGATGTTTGTGTCTAAATTCTTCAGGAACAAATGCTGAAAGGGGGCTTTGCTTGGCACTACAAAATGTGCGACAAACGTCCTGAATTTGCAAAAGTAAGATATTTGATCTCAATCCATTTTTTATACCCCCCTCCCCCCAAAAAAATCATTCTAGCATCTTCAAAATAATTCTTACAAGCATTTTTTATACCCCATAACTTAGCATATGATGCCGGTTTGTTATTAATCAGTGGGCAAAACTCCAAGGCGAATGCCTATAATGTGTGATTTTCTCATCCTTAATTATACATGGCATGATGTTCTCTCTCACATTTTGATCAATTGTTTTGTTCAGTGGCAGAGAGAGGCGAAAAAGGCACGCCGAGGGCTTTGGTCGTTAGATAAACCTCAAAAACCATGGATTTGGAGGAGAGATAATCCACGCATTGACAACAAGAAGGGGAATGCAGATGACATTCAGGTTAGCGAAAATTCCCGTTCTTTAACGATCCAAGAGCGTGGTTTCGACGTGAGGTTGCTAAGAGCTTCACGCAGATGCGCGCTCTTTGGCTTTTTGGATAGATGCACACAGTCCAACAGTTTAGGATTGTTCGTACTTTCAAAGTGATAAGTACGTTAACATATATAGGCACAAATGCCTGAAATAACCAGGAGGGATCGAGACTATGTCTAAAACGCCACCCATGTGGCGAACATAAAGTCCCTGGTAGCAACTTCTAGTTTGCGAATAAGTGGTGGGTTTTTCAGTTAGTTACAAGCAGGGTATTGGATGGTGGAGGGTTTTTCAGCATGCTCTGTCGTTACAAGCAGGTAGGGAACACTTAGTTGCTAGCCAATGACATGCTACTTCTGCTCTGCTGTGCAACTGCTCTTCTACTTTGGTTGTAGTTAGATCAGTAGTCTTCAGAGAGCCTGTTTTCGTTTCTCCTCGGGTCGCTTGTAATCTGACTTTATGTTTCTATCTATTCACATACAGTCCTCGTGCATAGTTCAAAAATAAATAAATTGTACGTTATTTCTATGTGTGCGTAATGCACTTGTAGATAGTCTAACAGATTGTTTTACGCCTAATTAAATTTCTTGCAGGTAGAACCGCAGAACCAGGTCAATGAGAGCAGTATAGCTCTACCATTGTTGATAATGAAAGATATGGAGGATCTGGGTAGGAAATGGAAAGGGAGTTTGGAAAATTTTGTGTCTGAGAACATGAAACTACACGATCAGGTCCAGGAGTTAAAGAGAGATAAGAAGGAGGCTGAGGAACGTGCTAGAAAGGCAGAAAAAGAAATGGAAAGTGCTGTGGCTGACAACATGAAGCTGAATGCTCAGCTCCAGGAATCTGAAATTAATAAAAGGGAGGCCGAGGACCGAGTTTTACAGTTAGATTTCTTCTCAGGAAGTGTTGCAGCTGTAAACATGGATTTGCACAATAAGATTGAGGTTTTAGAGAATGAGAATAAAAAGGCCAAGGACAGAGCCAAGGAGGCAGAAAGTGAAATGGAGAGTGTTGTGGCTGAGAACAGGAAACTGAACGATCAGCTCCAGGTAGTAGAGGGCCAAGCAGTGAAGCTGAAATATTTTTGTGAAAAGGTTGCAGGTGTAAACATAGTTTTGCACCGTAAGCTGGAGGGGTCAGAGGAGAAGAATAAAAAGGCCGAGGAGCAAGCCAAGGAGAAAGAGAAGGAGATGAAAACTATTCTGGATGACAATGCGAAACTAAGTGATCAGATTCAAAAATTAAATAAGATAAATAAAGAGATTACCGCCTTTGCTAATAATAGTAAAAGGAAATTGCAAAGTGTTCTAGCCGCAAACATGGATTTGGATAAAAGGGGGGTGGAGCGAGCTACTTTGCCAGATAAGGGATTGGAAATTGTTGGAGTTGAAAACATGAAGGAGAAATTACAAGGCATAAGTCACAAGAAGAGTGAACAAACTGTGGAGACCCCATCGGCAACTCCAACCAAAGACTCTGGGGTGAAAAAACCCACTGTGTGGCGGATAAAAATGACCGCAACGACATCTTCGGCGCCTCCACCAAAGGGTCATTATGAATAGACACAACTATGTGTTGAATTTAAGCTATTGCCTACATATACAAGTTCAACATCGGCATGTGTTGCTACAAATTAAAAAAAACTATATATTATATAATCTATAATCACGTGGCATTTTGTGTTTCACCCGAACATATTTCCTTTTGTTTTCTATAAATAATAGAATGACATTTAATTCTATCGTATTGATCCACCCCTATTGGAGAGGGTCTCCACACTATTTCGCCTTGATCCGTCAGTATGCATGTTTACTCCTATCATTATATTATGCGGCTTCGTTCTTCAGGGTCGATAATGTGGCGGTGTCGACCTTTCTCGCCGTGTCGATTTGGTTCGCGTTCCTTTTCTGAAGTGCAGGTTCGTGGTCGTGCAATGGCGTCGACAGACCTCTGGTGGAGCTAACTGTGGTCTGCTTGTTGTGTCCTTCCCATGGTGCTCCCGGTTGCCACACGACCATTCGGATTCTCGGGGGAACCACTTCTCCTTCCGACGGTGCGGCATCCTTTTGATCCGAATGGATGTCGATGTGCCCATGTTGTTCATCATTCAGGAATGGACTTGGGCCGTCACCTTTCATATTGGAGCCCCCAACAAGTTTTGTGCTGCTTGTCTAGTGCTAGCTGCTTTAGCGGACGAAGACCCCGACGGATCAAGTTCATTTCCTTGGTTCATCTTGGTAGTTGCTTGTGTTGTATTCGGTCTGTGCACAAACTTATTTGCAGCATGCATTTGTCGTCTGAGGTTGTTTGACCATGGTAGTTTCTTTTTTATTTCTTTTTGATGCTTGCAAGTGGTTGATCATTATAATTCTGTCTGGGGTTTGGGTAATTGTAAGTCGGGCTAGGTTTGAGCCTTTTCTCAGGCTCGGACGATGTCTTCTTCTAAAACAAGGACTCTGACAATATACATCTGAACGTGAAAAACAACCAACTAGTATTATGTAGTGCTGAGAGCATGACTGATGCCAAAAACATTTGGCATTTTCTAAGCTTATCAAAAATTGACAAGCAAAATCAAGCAGCGTCGCACGCTCGCTGTCCAAAGAAAAACAGCATCGAACGCTCAATTGCAAATTTCCAATCGATCAACGGGGCGCGTTTACCAAACCATGCCGCTGGGCAAGACACACCCATTAAACTGTGTGTCTTGTCCAGCAGCGTGGTTTTTTTTCCTGTCAAAAAAAAAACCACGCCGCTGGGCAGGACACACCCACTGAACCATGGGCCCCGCGTGTCAGCTTCACCTCGCCAAAACCACCAATCCCCAAACCCCACGGTGTCGTAACACCCAAACCACCTCCCACTCCTCTCTCCCCTACCCCTCGCCCCATCGCCCCGCCGCCGCCGCCGCCGCCACCGGCGACGGCGACCCCGATGGGCGCCTCCGCCTCCGTCCTATCTCTTCCCGTGGCCGCCTCCTTCCCTGGCGCGGCCACCGCTATCGCGGGCGCCGCCGGCTGCTTCGCGCTCGGCTACTTCCTCGCCCTCGCCCGCCTCCCCATCCACGCCGCCGCCGCCCCCGACTCCGGCGACGACGATTCCGAGGACGACTCGGACGAAGATGATGACGAAAATTCCGGCCGCGCCCGGCCGGCGAAGCGAGCCGCCGGGCGGAAGCGGACCGGGCTCAGGCTGCTGTTCTGGTCCCGGAACGTGGTGACCAAGTCCGACTCCGCCAGGGAAGCCGAGAGGGCGCAGGCCCAGACCGCCTCCGCCCCCCTGGAGATCGAGAACCTCGCCAAGATAATAGAGGATTTCAAGATGGTATTGGAGTTTCTTTCTAGCCAGCACTTCTTCCCTTTACTCGGATTTTGGTATTTTCATTTGGGGGAGAGAATGGGAAATAACTTGGTTGATGTTCTTGCTGGTGCAGGTGCTTGTTGTGAGAAACGACCTGAAGATGGGAAAGGGGAAAATCGCTGCGCAATGCAGGTAACACATTTCAGTATCGGGATTGGCTAAGAATAGAAACTTGCTAGATTGGGAACCGATATCGATGGTTAACACAGAGTGATGAAATGGTCAGTGTATCATGTTGTTAAGAGTTGATGTCTTGTTAAGTTTGCCCATGTTTACTGTTTACAACAGGCGTTATTGGGCTGGCATACCTGTTTGACACTTTAGATTGTTGTTACAGCTGATCATGACATATTTTTATGAGCTTCAAATTGAACAATGATTATGAAGTAGACAAAATTTCCCTTTCTGTTAATATAGATGTTTTTCTGGAATGAATGCAGTTGCACACAAATTGTTCATGCCAAAGCCATGTGGCAATCTGTTATTTTTCTTGCTACTTGTTTTCTATGAACATGTCTGCGAAGTGCCAATGGTGCATGTCATGTCCTTTCTTAGAACTATCCTGCAGCTATAGTACACAGTTCATGACTGCAATTGGCATTCTTTACATCTTACTTTTACATTACAAAAAGTATTGGGGTGTAGGGGTTCAAGGAATGGAAGACTATTTTGGTTTGGCCTGATGCTCAAACCAGGTAGCCGCCTCACCTAATTCTTCGCAATTGCTATTTGTTTTGAAAACTAGATGGTAGTATTTTCCATAACACTTAAGCCAGCTGGCTTCTTTATCCAAGACAAGGGGTATGTTTGCTTTTAGCCTAGCTTTACCCTAGCATATAGTTGGCTGGCCAAAATTTTGGTGGAGTTTTTTGCTTGCCCACGAATTGGCCGACATTGGCAAGAAAAGTGAACTAGATTGGTAAAAGAAGTATTGGCATGCCAAAAAGTTGGTTGCCATCCAAATATAGACCAAAATTTTGGTCATGAAGGGGAGCCTTGGCGCAGTGGTAAAGCTGCTGCCTTGTGACCATGAGGTCATGGGTTCAAGTCCTGGAAACAGCCTCTTACAGAAATGTAGGGAAAGGCTGCGTACTATAGACCCAAAGTGGTCGGACCCTTCCCTGGACCCTGCGCAAGCGGGAGCTACATGCACCAGGTTGCCCTTTTTTTGATTTTGGCCACCATCCAAACACACCCAAGGTTTCTGATCACCAGTATTCAGTCCTCCCAAAAACCGAGGCAAAAATTTATCATGGCTGCATGAATGCTTATTGCGGTAGAACTTTTGCAATGTCCCGATGTTGATCTTTGTACTCATACCAACCACCCTATATATTTTCCATCAGATTTCCTTGATCAGACAGCAAGGAAACACTGCATATCTACTAGCCGCGCCAAAGCTGAGGTACCAGGATTCCCCTCCCCGCCACCGGCCGCCGGAGAGGCATGTAGATGGGAGGCGAATCCACGGGCTCATCGGCGGAGATCAAGGGGAGGAAGGCTTTGCCCTAGTCACCTTACAAGAGGGGAAAGAAAAGCACGTATACGACCGTTACATTATCTTGACGGCATCAACACTTATCAGGGAGAGCTTGGACATCATTGCTCGGGCAAATGTGTCGTGCATGCTCTCTTGAGTAGGTGACGAGGGCCTAACTCCCTTGCCTGATCAGACAAGCAAAACTATACCCGATTGGCAGGCCAGTCAGCATGTCGACATCCAGTCAAGATGATAATGGCTCACCTGAAATGATAATATTCCTTGTGAGATGTGATCCACCAAAGAGAGAAACTGTTGGCATATACCTTTTTATCTGAATGATGAAGCAGTTAGCTGTAACTGCCACTGACCAGAAAGACGGATAGGTTACGTCCAAGACTCTGATATATCCTGCAGCTTTAGTATACAATCCATGAATGTGATCTGTATTCCTTACGTCTTACGTAAAAAAGGCATAGAGATGGAGGGGGTGAGGGAATGAAAGACTATTTTGGTTTGATCTGATGCCCAAACCAGCTGGCTGCTTCTCCTAATCCCAAACTGGAATTGTCATTTTCTTTTGAAAAATAGATAGATGGTATATTCTATAGTGTCTCCCGTAATACCTAAGCCAGCTTTACTTCTTTATCAAAGATAAGGTTTCATTTGGTGCTCCAAAAATCATGGCAAATTTAATGCTTATTGCGTTATAACCTTTGCAATGTCCAAATGTTGATCTCTGTACCCATGCCAACAAGCCAATATAGTTTCCATCAGATTTGATTGGCCAGACAGTGAGGGAGCACTCTAGGTACCAAAGTAAACTCATTTTTCACCCCTATGATGGCATTCACCAATCCTCATTGGGACTACTCGACTACTCGTCTAGAACTAGAAACAGTTAACCTAACAATCTAACACTAGGTGGTTGCTTGAACTCATCATGGTTATTCAACATATTTGAACAATGGTAAACATGCTGTATATGAAAACATGTGGCATTTCAATTAAGAAAGCATGTGTATCTTTGCTTCTGAGTGTTTTTAGAAGTGGATGAGTGATCACTTTTTATTTTACTATGCTTTTTGTTATTTTCAATACAAGGGAGTGGTGGGCTAATTATGGTTGGTTGTTTCCTTTTTCTGTTTGCTCAGCCATGCAACACTGGGCTTGTTTAAAAAACTCCAGCAGAGAGCACCAAAGTCATTACGAAGGTATCGTTATCAGTAGCTACTTCTGCTGTTTGTACTAGTACATAATCAAGTTTCCTAAACGGGAAAACAAATTTCCGTTCATTTTTATCTTGTACAGATGGGAGAGGTGTGGCCAAGTTAAGGTGGTTGTGAAAGTAGAAAGCGAGGAAGATATGCTTGTTTTACAAGTAAGTATTCTGCGTTATTGTTCACTGGCACATTAATCTTGGAACCACCTTGGGTATATCAACGAAACCAGTCATTAAACAATTTGCTCTTATCAGATAATCTCCATTTAAACAATTATCAGAGGAATTAAAATTACTAAAAAGATAGTATTAAAAAAACATCTTACAAAAACTGGAAATTTTGTAGGTCAATGTGTCCTGTCCTGAAACATCAACAACAATTTCATCACTTCCCATTTTTTTAGAAACTTGAAACATTTGATTCTTACTTGGTCTTATCCTCCATTTTCTTGCTTTACAAATCGTTTATTTAATCTATGTATTTAAAACAAAATGGAAGTAAGTTTGCGGTTATATCTTAAACATGCTTATCATTTGGAACAATGTTATTTGTCCCATCACATGTGGGCCCACTTTTGGGTGCAGGGGAGAGCAAAATCTATGAATCTGCCAACTCACATTACCATTGATGCTGGAAGAACACAGATTGCACCTAGTGAGTTCTTTCACCTTCATTTGTTCAATTATCTTCATCCAGTTTAATTATGTCTGTTTATGACTTGAATTGTTTTTTGTCTTGCGATCCTGTAGATTCCAGAACAGTCATGGCTATACTTGGTAAGTTACATGCATGATTTTCACAAGTGTATCATGTTTTTCAGAATTTGTGGGCTTGTAGTGAGCTGATATCTCGCTGCTGATTGTGCTGTTTCATTTGAGCAGGGCCGGCTGACATGGTTGACGATGTCACTGGTGGTCTGAAGCTCTTATAACACGACTTCAACATCTCAAACATAGGAGTTCAAAGAGCAATGCTGGAATTTTGCAAGCGATGATACTTCCACTGGTCTCCTGCTGAAGAATGAACCTTGGCTTTGTTGGTTTACTTGATATCGTTCTTCCAGGATTTGTTTGGAAGGAGGTTTTGTCCACTTTTACTTGTATCGACGACTGCTGTCTTTGGAGACCTCTCTGATTTAAGTAAATTTTCTCTGGATTTGGGGCAGAGTAGTTAATGAACCGTTCTCCATGTGTAGGATACAAATCTGAAAAGGATAAATGCGGTGTTTCCCTTCCATGAACTTTGTGAACTCCTTCAAAACAAAAAAGAAAAGGAAAAATAAAAACTATCTGAACTCTCTTGTCTGATTTTGCACACTGGAAGTAGTAGATCACCATAGTACTTATACTGAAAGTGAAGAGGATACAACACAATACAATACAATGGTGTTAATCAGTACACCACCATATACGTATGTTCATACGGATACAATGATTTGCTGCAGCAGCGACTCGAAGGCGCTTTGGTGGATGGATATATACCAAATATAATTGCGAATTCGTGATTTTGGTGAAGCTATAACATGGTCAGGCAGTGCAGGATGTATTCTCCCCCCTTAATTTCGACGAAATTGCATCGATCAGATGCTCTGCAGCTCGCCGTTCCCGCTGAAGATCCGGTTGAGGATCGCCGCCAGCCTGACGCCGCCCTGAGCGATCCTCTTCTCAACAACCGGCAGCGCCGCGGAGTAGTAGTCATCTGCAGTTCAGTTCCAACAAAGATCTCATCGCACTCGTTCCAAATGAACCACAATCAATCACTAGTTAAGCATACGAAAGTATGTATCTAATTCATTCTTATTGACGATCTCCTACGGTACCTCCTAAGGTGGAGTCCTGCTTGACGCCCTTGTACGCGTCGCAGGCCAGCACCGCACTCTCCTGAGCGTACCTGCACTCATTTTCAAGCCGTCAGCCTCTGAACCTATATTCGGTTTTGCATCTGGAATGGATCATCGTCATGACTGATGAGCGAGCCTACTTGTCAGCGCAGGTCTTGGTTTTGCTGCGGCACGCCTCCCACTGCTTCTCCTCTCTGGACCAGTCCTCCTGTGGGTAAGAAAGAGAACAACTCAGTCAAAATCACTCAAGGTGAAATTACGCTGAAGTGATGCTGCAATTCAGTGCAGAAGCTGCTGGCTTTGGCTTACGGTGATGTTGCGCTGGATGGCCTTGACCATGGCGTCCTGGTCTTTGCCGTAGAAGTCCTTCATGGCCTGCTCGATGACGTCCACGTCCCACACCTAGTGATTATATAGTCAGGTAAGCATATGATTATTGATGATTCTACTATGAATCATCGTGGATGGAGCTGAGACGACTGTTAGTGGTGGTACGTTACGTACGTGGTGCAGGTTGCTCTTCCTCCTGTACCAGCGGACGAGGATGGTGTTGCCGCCGAGGTCTTCCACGTGGCCGCAGTGGAGCGGCTGGTGCACGTCGCCGACGAAGTGTGCTAGGAACATCAGGCTCTCCGTCCGATTATCTGGACGAGGATATACATGCCATGCATCCAGTATTAGTACTTGCATATACTCCAATATATGCCCCCGTTTCCCTCTATCAATGCAATGATACACTTATCAAGCGTATTGAAAAAACCAATATACGCCACCTGTGAAGAAAGTGATCTAAATGCTCTTATATTGCTTACACGGGCTTGACGAGTCCTGCAGCGCGGCGGTGTAGTTGTTGATGGCCCCGACCACGCACACGTTCTTGTTCCCCTTGGTGTCGTGGCAGTCCCCTGCCACAAATCAAAATCAAAAGGAGCATCGAAGCATGGCATAATAATAAGACCAATTGCATAAATTCTGATGAGATCTTGTGTTGGGCGTTTAGTTGTCCTTGCTCGTGAAACTCTACAACTGTTACATTAGCTTGGCGGCATCAACGATTGCTCAGGCAAACGCGTCGTGCATGCATGCCTCCAAGCTTGAGCGGGTGACGAGGGCATAACTCCCTTTGCCCAATCAGACGAGCGAACCTATACTCGATTGCATGCCACCGTCCAGTCAAGCTAATAATAACTCGCCCCAAGTGATAATATTCCTTCTCCATCAAAGAGGGAAACTGCCGGCCTTTTTATCTGAATGAATGATGATGATTCAGTTATCTGTAACCGCCCACTCACCAGACACATGGATAGGTTGGTTGCTTCAGTAGCAGGTGGACGCACGAGAGGCAGTTTTAAGAAAAGGTGTTTCTCGAAAACACGCAAGTTTTTCAAAAATGTTTGTAATGGTCACATGAAAAATCAGAATTTTTTGTTTCCCAAAACATGACAAATTTAGAAAAACTATAATGGTCACATGGAAATTACAAATTTATTTTCTACAACAAGGCAAATCTAGAAAAATTTGAAATGTTCACCTGGCAAGTTTAGGAATTTTGTTCTATGAAACATGACAACATTTTTTTTGTAAATATCTAATGGTCACATGGCAAATTTATGATTTTTAGCTCCTTAAAACATGAAAAATCAAGTATAAACTTTTGGTCCCTAAATGACGGCAAATTTATATATTTAGAAAATGTTTGTACTGGTCACATGGCACTTTAGAAAACTTTCGCTCCAAAATGATGGCAAATTGACATATTGTTTTTGTAATATTCACATGGTAAATTTACGATTTTTCTATCTAAAACATATCAATTTTTGAAAATATTTGTTCTTGTCACATGGAAAATTTATTATCTACCTAATTGCAACTCCACCTCCCCCCGTCTCCTAGTTTTTTTATACCATGGCAACTTCTCTATGTTTTGTGCATGAACTCTTTTTTTTTACTATAGAATGTAACCGTATAACCCCATGGCAGCTATACATACATCATCATCATTTTTACATATCATGGAAATTTTTACAAATTCATTCTATAATTCACGGAAGATATATAAATTTTTAGTACTGGTCATATGGCAACTCTACAAATTTTTCCTCTCTAGATCATGACTAATGTAGCCAAAAAAATTCAAAAAAAAAACTAATGTAGCAAAAAATTACTATTTTGTGTTTGCTAAAACCATGGCAGTTTGTAGAGATTTTGTAATCGCGACATGACAACTTCAAATAATTTTGTTCTCCACAATCATGTCAACTTTTACAAATGTATTTACTGGTCACACGACAACTTTAGACATTTTTGTACTGCTCACATGGCAATCTTTTTGTAAAGTTCACATGGCAACTTTATGTAGATTTTGTACACCA